CAAACCCCGCCCTCTCCTGGCTCCACCCCCCCCAAAGTCTCCAGGTATTTTCCAACCCAGGCCTGGCAACCCTAAGCCAGAAGACAGAGATCAGCCTCCCCTGGAGAAAATGGCTGCCTTGGAGGGTGGACTCTGTGGTGTTGTACCATGCCGAGGCCCCTCCCCTTTCCAAACCCCGCCCTCTCCTGGCTCCACCCCCCCAAAGTCTCCAGGTATTTTCCAACCCGGACCTGGCAACCCTAAGCCGGAAGGAAGGGCCCGCCTCTGCCACCCTTTCCACTGGCAAAAGTGGAGCGGGAGGGAAAGCAGAAATTCCTTCTCCCCCCTCAAAGTTCTCCCTCACAGTGCTGAGTGGATGAGCACTTTTTAAGGTGAGTTTCCCCCATGTTCCTCTCATGCCAGTCCGGTCGCACACAGATGACTTAACACCTGTGAGGCGTATTGTGTAGTTAAACCAGGGGTCATTTCCTGTGGGAGCACACAGGAGCGGAGCTCCGGCAGTAAGGAGCCCAGGGGGGCGGGCACATGCAACAAGCCCCGCCCCCTGCTCCCAGCAGCCCTCAGTCGGGCCAGGAGGAGCAAGAAGCTGCCAGGTAAGTTGCAGAGCCCCCCCCGCCTTCAGGTACAAGCTCTCCCTCCTCTGTGAGGACAGATCTGCACATTCCCCCCCCCCAATAGCTAGCAATCCAAAACAGTCCAGTGGAGCCTGAGCGGTGGGTGGTACCTTCTGACACACTTCTCTGTGATGCAGAGGCAGGCAATGGAAAACCACCTCTGGATATCTCTTGCCTTGAAAACTCTAGGGGGGTCGCCATAAGTTGGCTGTGACTAGACTGCACTTAGTTCAAGTCCAGGGGCACCTTTAAGACCAACAAAGTTTTATTCAAGGTATAAGCAGGGGTCATTTCCTGCAGGAGCGCACAGGAGCGGAGCTCCGGCAGTAAAGAGCCCAGGGGGCGAGCACATGCAACAAGCCCCACCCCCTGCTCCCAGCAGCCCTCAGTCAGAGCAAGAAGCAGCCAGGTGAGTTGCAGAGCTCCCCCCCCCCCTGCCCCACCGGTCCAAAACAGTCCAGTGGCTCCTTTAAGACCAAGTTTTATTCAGGTACAAGCTCTCCCTCCTCTGTGAGGACAGATCTGCACGTCCCCCCCCCCAACAGCTAGCAATCCAAAACAGTCCAGTGGAGCCTGAGCGGTGGGTGTTGCCTCCTGACACACTTCCGGTGATGTCAGGGGGTGTGGCATATGCAAATGAGTTATGATAATGAGCTCCTGCACCTCTTTTTCTACGAAATGACCCCTGAGTTAAACACTAAGCCACAAACCCTGGCTGCTTTTTCTTGCCTCCGTCAGTTGGTTTCTTAAAAGCCGGACATTTTAGATGACGAGATAATTTTTGCACAAAGTGTCACTATTGGCCCTGGCTCCGACCTGGTGGAACTCTCTTCCAACTTCCGTCAGGGTCTTACGGGACTTAAAGCAATTCTGCAGGGCCTGTAAGGTGGAGATGTTCTGCCAGGCTTTTTGGTTGAGGACAACAAGGGTTTTCCATCACAGTTGGCACCAATGCACCCTCTAAGCTGTGGAGTCCCGTGAGCAAAAGTTCTACTTTGTGAGCGACTGGCATTAAAAGTTGTGAGTGAGTGATTTGGATGCTGCATCAATTAGTTTGCTCTGGAGCAAACTTCCTGAGCGAAGACGAGAATGTGTGAGCCGGAGGCTAAGAAACTGGGAGCTAGCTCGCACTGACTCAGCTTAGAGGGAACACGACCCTTCTCCTTTCTTCCAATCTGCCCGCTTCGGCCTCCTCCTTAACCTGCCCACGAGATAGAAGAACAGCCCAGAGTAGGTTTTAGATTAAATTATGGACGCCATCTGGAGACTATCAAAGTAAGAATAACTGATCTGCTGGTTTCAATCTATATTTTTTGTATGTTTTTAACCTGCTGTAAACCACTCAGAGCCCCGTGTACTCAGGGATTGGGCGACTGGTGTAGTGGTGAGGAGCACAGACTCTAACCTGGGAGAACCGGGTTTGATCGCCCACTTCTCCACATGCAGCTGCTGGTGTGACCTTGGGTAAATTGCAAGTTCTGTCAGAGCTGTTCTCTCAAGGGCAGTCCTCAAAGGAGCTCTCTCAGCCTCGCCTACCTTACAGGGTGTCTGTTGTGGGGAGGGGAAAGGAGATTGTAAGCCGCTCTGAGACTCCTTTGGGTAGTGACGGGCGGGGTATAAATCCAGTCTCTTCTCCTTCTCCTCCTCAAAGGAGCTCTCTCAGCCTTGCCTACCTCACAGGGTGTCTGTTGTGGGGAGGGGAAGGGAAAGGAGATTGTAAGCTGCTCTGAGACTCCTTTGGGTAGTGAAGGGCAGGGTATAAATCCAGACTCCTCCTCCTCCTCCTCTTCTTCTTCTCAACTGGCCTGGAGAAAAATGGCTTCCTGACCCCAAAGTGGCTGTCAGCATTTCCCTGGGCGTGTAAGAAAGGGCCACGAGAACTAAGCACTGAGGCAACCCTCCCTGCCCTCCCTCTCGTGATCTGCCAAATACTTTCCACAACCTACCTCACAAGGTTGTTGTGCACACAGCATGGATCAAGGGAGGTCCATGCACATTTGACGTTAGCTGCTTGGGGGGAAAGACAGGGTAACAAACCCGGTGGATTTCCCCGTGACTAATTGGTTGGACCTCTGTCGGTTCTGACTCCTTTTCCTTCCCCGCAGAGTCATGAAACTGAACCTCCTGCTCTTCTTGGCGGCGCTGAACAGTGGCATCTCGACGTACCGGCCCATGGAAACGTCACCCTGCGATATGGTAAGAGCTTTGGCAACGGAGGAAAACCTGGCTATCCTAAGTCTTAAGAGGTTCTGTGGCAGGATGTCCCCATTCCCTTCATTTTCAGCACTCTCACCTTCCACGGTCATCCTGAATCTGGCTCCAGTGAGTTAGGCCTGCCGTGGACGAGTGGGTGGACAAACTCTTTTATTATTATAGATGAGATCAGAGGTAATTTCGGGGGGGATCGCGGGGGATCGCAGTTCCCCCGGGTGAGGTACGGGGGGCGGGGCACATGACGAAGCCCCGCCCCCTGCTTCCGGCCGCCCCGCTTCCGGCCCTCATTCAGCCAGGAGGAGGCAGGAGAAGAGGGAGGGTAAATTGCTTCCTCCCTGCCTCTCCCCACCCCTGCCTGCCTGGGGCCAGGGAGGGCCTTCGCGGGGCTTCCTCACACTCCCGCTGGCCTTGCAGGTCCACCGCCGGGCCCCTCATGGGGCTTGGCAGTGGAGCTGCAAGGCCGGCGGCGGCCGGGACCGTTGGGGGCGGTGTGTGTGGCCTTATGACACACTTCCGGTGATGTCAGGGGGTGTGGCATATGCTAATGAGTTATGCTAATGAGTTCCCCTAGCTCTTTTTCTACGAAACGACCCCTGGATGAGATTAAGTCGGAGTTTAGGGCTGGGGTTACGCTGGTAACCTGCTGGAGGGTGTAGTGATGGCCACAGGCGTAGATGGCTTTAAAAGGGGATTAGACAGATTCATGGAGGAGAAATCTACCAGTGGCTACCAGCCATGGTGACTGAGGGGAAATTCCACATTTCGAGACACTAATCCTAGAGTTAGGGGGCAACATCAGGGGAAGACCTCGGCCTCTACACCCTGTTTTTGGCCCTCCGGAGGAGGAACTGGTTGGCCACCATGTGAGACAGGATGTTGGGCTAGATGGACCTTCACTGGTCTGATCCAGCAGGGCTCTTCTTGTGTTCTCATCAGGGGAAGGCCTCGGCCTCTCTGCCCTGTTGTTGGCCCTCCAGAGGAATTGGCTGGCCACTGTATGAGACATGACGCTGGGATGGACCTTCATTGGTCTGATCAAGCAAGGCTCTTCTTTCATATGTACTTCAGTTATACATGCCCTTTCTCCCCAATGGGAACCCAAAAGTATTTAGAAAAAGAAGAAGAAGAAGAAGAGATTGGATTTATACTCCATCCTTCACTACCCAAGGGAGTCTCAGAGCGGCTTACAAACTCCTTTCCCTTCCCCTCCCCACAATAGGCACCCTGTGAGGTAAAAGAAGAAGAAGAAGAGATTGGATTTATACCCTGCCCTTCACTACCCAGAGGCATCTCAGAGGGGCTTACAAACTCCTTTCCCTTCCCCTCCCCACAACAGACACCCTGTGAGGCAGGTGGGGCTGAGAGAGCTCTTTCAAGAACTGCTCATGAGAGAACAGCTCTGAGAGAACTTGTGACTGACCCAAGGTCATGGCAGCAGGTGCACGTGGAGGAGTGGGGAATCAAACCCGGTTCTCCCAGATGAGAGTCCGCGCTCCCAACCACTACACCAAACTGGCTCTCTAACCACTACACCAAACTGGTTTCATTGACCTCTTCTCCTCACAACAATTGTGTGAGATAGTTTAGGCTGAGTATACGACTAGGCCCAAGGCCTCCAGTGACTTTCCATGGCACAGTGGGGATGCGAACTCAGGTTTCCTAAGTCCTGGTCTGACCCTGTAACCCCCTGTGCCACACTGGCTTCCTGAGTACCCCAGAAAGTCTCCCACACAGGACGTAAGAACGCAAGAAGTGCTGGATCAGTCCATCTGGTCTAGAGTCCTATTTCTCATAGTGTCGTCCCCCAAGGAGCCTTGGAAGGCCCACAAGCAGTGGCCTAGAGGCCCAAACCTCCTTCTGCCTTTGCTGGTTTCCAGTCCCAGCCAAATATGGAAAAAGAAGAAGAAGAAGAGATTGGATTTATCCCCCGCCCTTCACTACCCGAAGGGAGTCTCAGAGCGGCTTACAAACTCCTTTCCCTTCCCCTCCCCACAACAGACACCCTGTGAGGTAAAAGAAGAAGAGATTGGATTTATCCCCCGCCCTTCACTCCCCAAAGGAGTCTCAGAGCGGCTCACAAACTCCTTTCCCTTCCCCTCCCCACAACAGACACCCTGGGAGGGAGGTCGGGCTGAGAGAGCTCTGACAGAAATGGCTCTTTTTCAGAACAGCTGTGCCTGAACTACGGCTTGCCCAAGGTCATCCAGCCAGGTGCAAGTGGAGGAGTGGGGAATCAAACCCGGTTCTCCCAGATTAGAGTGATTTTTCTGGTAGTGACATGTGGGGCAAAAACTCTATGGCGACCATAGAGTTTCCCCCAAATGCTAGAATGTTGCCACATGATGGCCCCAGTGTGATGACGTCACTACCGGTGATGTCATTGCATCAGCGGCGTCCCCACAGGATGCTGCTGTTTGGGGTGGGCCAGATTGGGATCCCTGGCCCGACTGGGGGGATGGCAACTCTAGAGACCACTCCCTGCCACTCTCTGCAGACGGAAATGGTGCTGCCAGTTGAAACGGTGCCACCCGATGTGTGCTGCTGCTGCTGCTTGAAAAAAATCAGTTTTCGCCTGTCGTCATCCGCTCTCAGACATCTCCCCGGCTTCGAGACCAGGAGAGCTCCCAGATTTTTTGTAGCCTCTGGGCTGGCTCTGCTCGGAGACGACGTTTCATTCCAGGCCAGGACAGTCCCACGTCTCTTTGTCAGGAGCAAATTTAAAAGCTGAGCGAAGCCAGGGCACTTCGACCCCTCTCCTCTTTCATGGTTGATTCGGATACTTGAGAAGGACACGGAGAGGTCAGAAGAATCTTGAGTTTTGTCAAGTGGGATAATCCGGAAGCCAAAGGCGGCTGTTAGCACGGAGCAAAGAGAGACTGCCAGGTCTGGAAGCTCTCCTGCCGTTCAGTACAGCTTACGGGTGGGTTGTACCCAATGCTTAGGGGTGCCAACTTCCAGGTGGGGCCCGAATATGAAGAAGAAGATGAGATGAGATTGGATTCATACCCCACCCTTCACTACCCAAGGGAGTCTCAGAGCGGCTCACAAACTCCTTTCCCCCCCCCCCCCCGCAACAGACACCCTGGGAGGTAAAAGAAGAAGAGAAGAGATTGGATTTATACCCTGCCCTTCACTACCCAAGGGAGTCTCAGAGCGGCTCACAAACTCCTTTCCCTTCCCCTCCCCACAACAGATGCCCCGTGAGGTAAAAGAAGAAGAAGATGAGATTGGATTTCTACCCCGCCCTTCACTCCCCAAAGGAGTCTCAGAGCGGCTTACAAACTCCTTTCCCTTCCCCTCCCCACAACAGACACCCTGTGAGGTAAAAGAAGAAGAGATTGGATTTATTTCCCGCCCTTCACTACCCAAAGGGGTCTCAGAGCAGCTTACAAACTCCTTTCCCTTCCCCTCCCCACAACAGACACCCTGTGAGGTAAAAGAAGAAGAAGAGTTTGGATTTATTTCCCGCCCTTCACTACCCAAAGGGGTTTCAGAGCAGCTTACAAACTCCTTTCCCTTCCCCTCCCCACAACAGACACCCTGTGAGGTAAAAGAAGAAGAAGAGATTGGATTTATTTCCCGCCCTTCACTACCCAAAGGGGTCTCAGAGCAGCTTACAAACTCCTTTCCCTTCCCCTCCCCACAGCAGACACCCTGTGAGGCAGGTGAGGCTGAGAGAGCTCTCATTACAAAATGACAAGTAACAGCAAAACAACTGTGTGCTGAAATACCCGCAAGAGTAAATATATACTACCTAGGAAAAGTTGGATATCTACTTTGGACTTGATGGATTCTGTAGACTTCTATATTTCCTATGATGGATTTCATGTACAGATTTATTGCTGATTACATATGTGTTTCACTTTGCTGAAGTCTCTTTTTGTATATTTAGTCTTGCGGGTATTTCAGCACACGTTTTGCTGTTACTTGCCGCTGAGAAAGCTCTGACAGAAACTGCTCTTTTTCAAGAACAGCTCTTGTCAGAACTACGGCTTGCCCAAGGTCATCCAGCAGCTGCAAGTGGAGGAGTGGGGGAACCAAACCCGGTTCTCCTGGATTAGAGTCCGCGCACTTAACCGCTACACCAAACTGGCTCTCACTAAGATCTCCCACTATTACAACCAGGGCTTTTTTGGAGGGGGAACACACCAGAACAGAGTTCTGGTACCTCTTCGACGAAATTCTTTTTTTAAAAAAATAACTTTATTTTTATTTTAAATTTCTGAAATTTACAATGAACATACATATAAATATGTGTATTAATTATTAAATGTTTTGTGAAAGTTTACAGAGAGTATAAGATTATACGTAATAATAAACATACATGTAGCAGTCCGTTAACAAATCAATAAAACAAGAAACCTGCGCATTTAGCAGGTAAGGCACTGGCATGATTCGCAACGGTCGTAATCCCACAAAACAGGATTTTTGGAAGGGTTATCTGCATACAATAGTTGGGACGGTATCTTGTCCATCACTAAGATATCCCGTAGATTTCAGCACACGGATCGAGAACTTCATTTCCCTCTTGCGAGTCCCGGCACCTCTGTTTCCAACAAGGAAAAAGAAAAACAGCCTTGCTTACAACTGAGCTCTAGTCAATAGAGATCAGCTCCCCTGGAGAAAATGGCTGCCTTGGAGGGTGGACTCTATGGCGTTGTGCCCTGCCGAGGCCCCTCCCCTCCCCAAACCCCGCCCTCTCATGGCTCCACCCCCCAAAGTCTCCAGGTATTTTCCAGCTCACACCTGGCAACCCTAAGCCAGAAGACAGAGATCGGCTCCCCTGGAGAAAATGGCTGCTTTGGAGGGTGGACTCTATGGCATTGGACCCTGCCGAGGCCCCTCCCCTCCCCAAACCCCAACCCCTCCCGGCTCCACACCTCCAAAGTCTCCAGGTATTTTCCAACCCGGAGCTGGTAACCCTGTGCTACAGAGCAGCATTCCCTAGCACACGGGATTCAAAAGAGGGTGGCAAAGCCTCT